TCCATCAACTGCAAGATGCTATCCTATCAATATGGGCCAACATTTCTAAAGAATGCTTTCAGCACCTTGTTGAATCAATGCCACGTAAAATTAAGGCAGTTCTGAAGGCGAAAGGGGGTCAAACACCATATTAGTATGGTGTTCCTAATAATCCTTTAAGTGAGTGTATATTCCCTTTTTTCTTGAGTCTGCTCATGCAAAATGAAATGCGATTAATATAGATTAAAAATGAATGATATTTAATCGTGATTAATCAAAACTAATCTACAGCAACCCTGTGATGAATCTGATTTAAAATTAATCGTTTGACAATACTAATATTTATACAATTGTAATACTCTTAAAATTCTTAAAATATTGTCATCCAACAGCCACTCTCAAGGTTCACCTTTGTCAATTTAAAGGCTACATTAAATGTCTATTTTATTAGCTGACCACCGTCATACCATATGTAATATGCAAATAAATAAGTTAAATTACAAAATTATCAACTGATTACAATACTACATATACAAGCAAGAACCCTTCACAAAACCTAACTTACATACAGTATAACTATATAAAATAAAGCAGCAAAGTCACTGGCCATTTTTCTCAATTAATAAAATTCTAGTTTTACCTGGCTCAACGGGGAAACTATTGAGCGGGCCATCACAGGCTACATAGGTCAAGTTAAAGTGTCGGACTCAGTTCTGTGTATGCCCACATTTATCAGATGGCTGCACTTTCAAACTTTGACCCAGTTTTACAGTTTTGTGCAGCTCACAGAGCTTTAAATTTTGATACAGTCCTGATGCCCTTTAATAATGATGTGCGAAGTCCTGGTTCACACTGGCTTCTTGCTGCAGCAGATTTCACAAAATGGGAAATTTGCATATTCAATTCAATCCACAGTTCTGAAATGCCAAGAACCACAAGCTCAACTCTCCTGAAAGTTGTGGCATGCATTTACAGAGCAGCCGACTAGAGAGTCACGGATGTCCTAAATGTCCCACAACAAGCAAAAGGTTACTACTGTGGTGTTTTGCCATTGTGTATGCCTGCTCAGTCATCACCAACTCACCAATAAGGTCAGTTGACAGCCATAAAGCCAGGTTGTGGATTCACTCCCTAGTTGGAGTCGGCAATCCGGTAAAAACCAGACGATCAGGCCTCACAAAAAAAGCTTTTATGCCACAGGAGAAAAATGCAGTCATATGCTACAGAAATGAAGGCTGTACCTATGAGAGAAAGAGTATAACGCTACCTTGCAAGGGCAAAAGCTAAATCACACAAACACTAAAAACTGGACCCTGTGCTACTCGTCAAAACGTAAAGGGTGATCCAGAGTACAGTGATCAGTACATTTTGTGTGTCAGCAGCAATATGGACTTTATACTACGTAGCACAAAGTCCATATTCTTAGCATTTAGGTTTAGATTTTTTTTGTCTGGTGAAAGTCTTTATGACC